GAGGCCTGCACTCTGCTGCCAGAGGAATGGAGAAAAACACATTTGCAATATCAATAGTGGCGTACCACTTTGCTGCCTCAGACTTCAGCTCATACTGGAGCTCCAGCATGTCCGGCACAGCAGCACTCAGTGATGGTGTAAATTCATTTAGGTGATGATAGTCCACAGTCAATCTCCATTCCCCATCAGACTTGCACACAGGCTAAATGGGACTCTTGAAATGTGAATGGGTTTTACTGACCACTCCCTGGCTCTCCAGCTCATGGATCATATTATGTATGGGAACCACGGAGTCTCAGTTTGTGTGGTAGTGCTGATGATGTACTATAGTGGTGGCCATTGGTACCTGCTGTTCTTCTACCCTCAGGAATCCTACTGCAGAAGGGTACTCTGAGACACCAGGCAAGGTGTCTAATGCCCTCTGTCTTCACAGCAGCTATTCCAAAGGCCCACCTGAGTCCTTTAGGGTCTTTGAAATAACTACTCCTGAGGAAATCTACTGCCAGAATACCTGGGACAGCTGGAGCAGTCACAATAGGGTGTTTACTCCACTCTTTCCCAGTCAAGCATACCTCAACTTCCAACAGAGTCAATTGCTGCAACTCCCCTGTTGACTCAACAATAGAAACAGGCTCTGTCCTCACACGCCCCAGTGGTATTTAAGTACATTGTGCACCAGTGTCAACCAAAGCCTTGTATTTTTGTGGTTCTGTTGTGCTAGGGCATCAGATCCACACAGTCCGAAAGACCCAATTTTCCCCAGCATCTACCTGGCTGGAGGCCAGGGCCCTTCTTATCCTGGCTACCATCGACTCCCTCTGTGTACATTCCAGAGGTTCCTTCAAGGGGCAGGACATATCATTCTCCCTTCAGTTATTCCTGGCTGCTCAGCTACGGGAAACTGTACCTGCATTCCTTATGGTGGAACTCCCTTCTTAGTAGCTTCCTCCTTTAGTTTACATACCTGTGCTGCCAGGACAGAAATGAATTTTCCATCCCACCGATATCTTCCCCATGCTCACACAGGAAAACCACAGGTCAGTTTGTGGACTGCACCCCCTCTCCCTAGCTGGGGTCATTTGCATCTGATAAGAGGGCATCTGCTCTGTACTGATGAGACTTGGAGAAGGTCCTCTAATCTCCTTCCTGAGTTTCTGATGGGTCTCTTCAGTCCTGTTTTCCACTTCCTGTATACGCTATGCTGTGTCTGTTTCCACAGCTGAGATTTTTGCTTCTGTTGGGCCATGCACAGTGTCTTCATAGTACCAGAGCCTCTTTGTCACAGCACTACCATCGCGTTCCTCTCCTTCCACTGCAGTGTTGCTATGATAGGGTTGTACGTTTGTGGCCAAATTTGTGCAAGTTTGAGCCACATCACTGCTGTACATTTTATGATGACTGGACTCTTAGTGGTTTGGTCATCATCTGAGAAAAGGACCTCTAGCACAGTCAGTTTTCTCAAGTGTTGTTCCATGGTCTTCCAGAGGCCTTGCTGCAGCTGAAGATCTGGGTGAAGGTATCTTTCTTTCATCACTTGTTAAGAGCTGTGCGCAGAGGCTGAGAGGTTTGGGCCTCCTTGCAATTCCCTGGTCAATACTCATATCATGTGACAGAGGTCCCAAATTCCTCACTTCAGTACCATCCAAAATTGAACCATATCCTGCACTGTCCCAGATTTGGACCAACCAACATAATACAGACTCATCAGGCTGTCGGCTGAGATATTTTCACAGATTATGAAAGCTTTCTAAGGATGGAGACTTGGTGATCATTTCTGGTTCAAATTCCTCTACTGGCTGTGAGGGTTCTGACTCCCCATCACCATCCACTGGGTGAATGGATTTGGTTTTGTGTTTCCTTCTCTGGACAGGGGTAGTTGCTGTTGATTTAGGCTCTCCATCTAGCTTAGCTGCAGCCAGAGAGCCTGGGGTGTCTGCTGCTGACTCACCCTCCTGCCCCTCTGGCTGTATTTGCTGTCCTACAGTGTCTAGCAGTGTGTGATAGCCATTAGCCAGGGCCCGGCACATTGCAATGAGCTTCTTCTCTTTAGAGCTGTCATTGCAATTTTCTTTCAGATATTTCCCCACCTCAGCTGTATTCTGAATTTGTTCAGGGGGAAATATCCAAACTATAGGGGCAGAGAATTCCTTCAGGGTTTGGCTTATGTCCTCCCACACCACTCAAGATTTTCCACCACTGGGGCAGGTGTCTGGACAACCTCTCTGAAAATCTCAACCCTGGTTCTAAATGTGCTGTAGGTCTTATGGATGAGAGCTAGCAGAATTTAAAAAAAGAAAATATGGTATTTTTAACATCCAGAGGGAATGGAATATTCTCAAAAGGTGACATGCCAGATCTGAAGAAGGAGGAGGTAAAAGGCTGGGAAAAATCATCCCCTGCTTTTCCCCCAACAGACTGGAGTGTAATTGTTAATAAATCCCCAAAAAAGCCTGCCAAGACCAGCACAGGAATACAGCAGAGAATACACATCCCAAATAACTCTCATTACATCTGATGTCTTTCCATAAATTCTTAGCACAGAGTATATCAACACAGCAGTTTGGATTCATGCCACTGGTATGAAGAAGATATATACCAGGGGCAGGATTGCCAATATTTATGGATAAGCACACATGCCCAGGTGCCACAAAGCCATTATATTGAACCAGGCATCATGATAACCATTGACTGTTGTACCCAGTACAAAGTCTTTCAGACAAGAAAGTTTTTTTTTTTTTATTTTTCACTTTCTCCTGCCCCCTTAGGTTGGGCGACAAATTTTGTCTCATTTTGAGACCATTTAAAAGAGAACCGTCTGGGTTATCTCCTTTAGACTTGCAAGAATCCCTTTCCACCAGTAAGGAATGAATACTAATAAACAAAAGTGAAAAAAAACCAACACAAACCCAACATTTTTGTTAACAAACCAAATGCCAACAGGCAGGGGAAAAAAAAAAGTAAATAACTTGTACATATCAAAGTCTTGGACCTCACCTCCCCACGAGAACAAAAGGAGACCAAAAATGCTGGAGAATACCCATTCCTGGTACATGATAAAAGATGGCATCAGGTCTTCCCCCTTTGGAAGGCAGGAGCCTCATGGAGCAGGTGAAGGCCCGGCAGTAGATGAAAGCCTCGTGGCTCATCTGACACCAACCTCCTCCCCACAGCATAGAGCAGCAGAACAGTCATGGCAAGCGAAATAGCTGGGCTGGAGCCATTTGGTGTGTTCTTTCCACAGCTTGGCACAGCTCAGAGTGGTTTGGGTCGGAGCAGGGAAGCTCCGCTCCTGTTGGTGTGATGTCCCTGGTCTCAGACAAGCAGCTGATCAATTTGCCTCAAGGCAGGCCAAAAATCACTACTGCAGCTTCTCCAAGACAAGGAAAGGAAAAACTTTTGCCTAGGCAAAAACCAAGCCAGCCATGATAAAATCACACCCCACAGTGCCCTGAAAAACCTGAGCAGGGAGCTTTTATAAAACAACCGCACAAAACAAAAACACTTGGTCCCCTCTGCCTCAAACACGCAAGGTCTTGGGGTTGAGGGGTCTTAAAGACATAGTAACAAGTTCTGGAAAGAGAACAGAGAATATCTGAATACACTATCATAATAAAGCACTCCAAGGCACTGAGGCTCAGGCATAGGTTACCCAGAGCAGTGTGGAATCCTGCTTTTCTCACAGTCAGGGTCAGCACAGACAACACAGACACCAACTTCAGGAATTACTGTAATTTACTGAAATTCAAAACTGAAAAGAATTGCAAAAGGATAAGCTAAGCAATGCATCTAATCATTACTATAAAAGATTGCCTACGGTGATGAAAATACATCGCTAGTTACCCTAATACTGCACCATCATCCAGGTTTGCCCCTTCAGCTGGGGGAAGCCACTGTCACAATACTGGGGAGACACTCCTTGCAAGTAGGAAATTCTGCAGATGCAACCTCCTACAGGCAATGAGGTTTCTGACTGCACTGGGAGAGAGCCCTCTTTTATACTGTCGAATAAACAAGCTACCATAACTTCTACAGCAGTAATATCTGGTTTTATTATCCTATTGGGATGCTCTGAAGGCCTTGGAGGGCTTCAGGAGGAACCAAGGGAGTTGTGTGTACCCTACACCCCAAAATAAGGCCAGATGTGGCCTTGTCCGGCTTCTAAATAGGGAAAGGTAAAACCATGTTTTGCCAGTGAGCAAATATTGATAACATTTGGTTAGAAGGTCAATCTAGAGATCAACTTTTAGTCAAGACCTGTTGTTGCTGCCTTAGGGCCTGTTGCTCAGGACTTAGTACTTCAATACCTCATCCCTCAAAGTGTTCAAGGACAGCTTCTGAGCTGGGCTCTGAGAAGCCGTCTCCAATGCAAATTACCCTCCACGCCAAGGCAAGGGGTCAGAACAAGATGATTTCCAAAGTCCCTTCCACCCCAAAGCATTTCATGGCTCACCAAGTAGATGCTGCCCCTCCCCCAGTGGGCCCCATGACACAGATCCCCACAGTGCCCAGAACATGGAACCCACCTCTCTGTGACATCAGCCCCGGGGCCGAGGGCTCCACGGGCAGCGCGGCTGCTGCGGGCACTGCGGCTGTGGCTGTGCTGCTGCACGGAGCTCTCAGTGCTTGCAGCTGACACGTGCCTCTGGCAGCCATGAATTGGCTCGGCCTCCTCGTCCTGCTGACCCTGGCTGGGCTGGCACAGAGCATCCAGTACACCTGTGGGTGAGTGTCCCCAGGCCCTGGGAGGGAGCCAGGGCAACACTTGGGGCCTTCCCTGGGGGGGACCCGTCTGTCCCCCATGGCCGGGCCACAGCTTCCCACCCACCATGGGGAGCCTCAGCTCCTTGCCAGCAGCCAGGTGCTGGCACGGACAGACACACACCCCATGGGCTTCCCTGGCCTGCAGGGCGTGCAAGCCCTTGTGGGGAGGGCAGAGGGCTGAGCTTAGCCTGAGCCACAGCAGGCCATGAAGCAGCACGGAAATGACTTTCTGCTTACAGAGGGAGCTGTGGGCTCCGAGTTCCGCCACCTGTCAACAGCCCCATGACTTATTCCTACGGCGACGTGGCTTATGACTACGGCATGACACGCATCGTGGGTGGCATAGGTGCCGCGGAAGCAGAATGGCCCTGGATCGTCAGCATCCAGCACCCCTGGGTACCAGGCCTGGGACACTGGTGTGGAGGATCCCTCATCACTGCAGATTGGGTCCTCACAGCAGCCCACTGCTTCGACAAGTTTGAGTAAGGATGAGCAGGGAATGGGGACATCCCCACAACACCAGCAGGTGCCCTGTCAGCAGCACCACCTGCTGCTCCCATCCCCTTTCCTCTCAGGCAGCCAGGCTGCCACAATGCTCAGGAGAAGCCTGAGCCTGTGCCAAGGCTTCCTTGCAGCCTCCAACTTGACATGCCCCAGCCCAAGGTGTGCGAGGGCACTCACACCTGCCAGAGCACTGCCTCCTCTCTGCCTTGCCATGCAGAGACAACTGCAGGGCTGCTGAGACTCCCTCTCAGCCCTCTCTCCATCTCCTTTGCAGTAACATCAGCCTGCTGTACGTGGTGATTGGGGCCACGCAGTTGACTCAGCCAGGCCCTGGGGCACAAGTGCGCAGCGTCAAGAAGGTGGTGATACACAGCGACTACAGGCGTAGCGACTACAGCTACGACATTGCCCTGATGCAATTGGACCGTCCTGTCCTGTGTAGCTCCTACATCCAGCTGGCCTGTTTGGCTGAGCCCACCCTAAGTGTCTCAGCCCTGCACAACTGCTGGATTGCTGGCTGGGGTGTCACTAAGGCAAGAAGTGAGTACCAAGAGCAACTTCTGGGCCAGCTCAGCACACTGGAGAGGGTTTGGGCTTCCCCTCATAGCAGAGGCCGAAGCCAGGCTGCAGGACATACACCTCTGCAGAGGTGGGTCTGGCCCTAGGAAAGGGGATTCCCCAGACAGGGAAGGAGAACTGGCATGGTTCTGCAGGGGGCTTATTCCTTTCTCTGCTCACAGATCTAGATTCAGCTGATCACCTGCAGCAGGCCAAGGTCCATCTTATCAATGTCCAGCTCTGCAACAGCAGTGATTGGTACGCAGGGGAAGTCCATCCCTACAACTTGTGTGCTGGATACCCAGAGGGCAACATCGACTCCTGCAAGGTAGGAGCGTGCCATGAGCCACTCAGCCCCCAGCAGCACCGCCCCAACACAGCCCAGGGCCTGCTCTGTCCTCAGCCACTCAGTCGCCCTCCCAGCCCCAGCTCCCCTGACTGCTCTGGGGGCTTCCCACACACTCCCCATCCACCCCTGCCTGCCCAGGGCTCCCCTTGTGCCAAAAGCCCAGAAAACCCAGTTAAAGTGTTCCTGGTAGCCCAGAGGTCCTCTTGTGCAAAACATCCATCCTCTGCACATCCAGGAGCCCTGTGCAGAGACAACAAAGAGAGCCCTACCCTACAGGAACCCAAGTCATTCACAGCCAAGCTTCTGGAGGCTCCAGCCCCTGAGCAGAGCATTCCTCTGCCCGGAGTACAGCTCTGGCAGGGGATGTGAGAGAAAAGGAGAGAGCCCCAGTGCTGGCATGTGCCACACTTAACTCCACCTTAATGCTCTGTGCTCTGCTGCAGGGTGACAGCGGTGGTCCTCTCATGTGCCAGGACAACAATGCTGATTACTGGTGGGTCATCGGACTAACCAGCTTTGGAACAGGCTGTGCCAGAGCAAGGCAGCCTGGAGTCTACATCTCCATTCAGCACTTCTATGACTGGATCGATTACAACATACGTATAAACTCAATTAAAAGTGCTCCTTGAGCAGCAGGAAAGGCAGGATCCAGGACAGGCTGCAGTGCACCACAACCATTTCCTGCTGATCCAAAGGCAGCCTCAGGGTCAAAACCCTGCTCTGTCCTGACCACACTCCTCTCCCCTGTGCACACAGACACTGGAGTTGATTTAGTTGTTGAAATAAAGTTACCTTGGTTCACAGAGAACCGTCTTTTCAAAGAACTCCTGAGCAAGACAAGAAGTGCCATGCTCAGCAGCTGCAGATTGAGCCTGGGGGCACCAAGGGACAGAGTGGCTCCAAAGAGCTCCAGAGTGCCTGGTCAGAGAGGAGAGTGCTCTGAGCCACTGTGGGCTGGGGGAACCTGGTACATCAAGCCTAGGAAAGGGATAGGAAAAAAGCAGACACCTTGGAGACAATGCTCAAATGCACATGGACTGCGGATTTAGGTGCTGATGTGAGCCTGATCTAAGGGAACACATCTGGGAAACTCCCAGGCATCACAAGGGAAACTCCTGACTGGAGTGCCAGTGCTCTAAGGCAGAGCCAGATTTCATGGGCAGCAAAGAGGGATTGATGTGCTAGGTGGTTACACTTCACAGATACTCAAAGGAAGAGCTGGGGTCATTCTGGGGAGAGGAACCTGCCAGGAACAGTAGGAAAGCACACCAGGAATGCCATGGAAGGCCAAGGTGTGTGGGCCAACACCACCTGCAACACCAAGGCTGTTCACAGGCAGGGCCCACCTGTGAGCCAGGGGGAAATGATCCCTGGGCTTTTGGCTCCATATTTGGGAGGAGATGAGGGCCAAGAAAGGGAGGAGTTGAGGGGCTGTATAAGCCTGGCCAAGCAAGAGATGGAGCAATCAAAGAGACTTGTTTTCCTGAGTGCTGCACAGAATCACTACAGGATGGGAAAGAACCTTCTTATCTCAACTCTCTAATTTAGGAATCATCTACAAACTGTACAAATCTGCACCAAAATGCTTGCCCTTTTCAATCAAACTTTGATTCTGTTGGGTGGGGAGACCTGTTGAAGGGTAGACTTGGGGTAGACTGCCTTGGGGTAGTCTTGTTGAAGGCAGTTTTCACCTGTCTTTTCCAGGTGAAGGCAAGTGAACATTGACTTTCTTTATCTAATGTAATGCTTCAAAATGCCTTGGGCTAAGTGTCACTCCAGCTGATACTCTTCTTGGCCTCTAGTGATGCCTTAAAGAAACAAAACAGCACATCTTCGATGTAATGTTAGTATAGGAACATTATAGCATATAGTATATAACACAAAGGCTGATCTTTATTGGAGGCCTCCTGAGGCAGATATGGCAAATGTCCACAGATTTCCTCCCCCACATGAGGTGAATAATTTTATAAGCTTAGCAAGTTTGCATATTTGACAAAAATCACCAATTAGGATCTCAAATTGTGAAGTAATTCCTCCCTTGGTTCAACCATCTCTAAAGCCTCCCCCGCCCCCTACCCAGATAGAAACTAAACTTTGTTTATGAAAATGCACCTCAAAGAGCTGTTTCCAGCCTTGGTTCCCACGAAGAACCAAGATAGGATTAGGGGCCTTGTAGTCTCCAGGGCATGGAGCTCTGAAATATGCTTTGTCTTTCTGCTTAGGGAAAAGGTAGGGAAAACTAGCCACAGATACAACAACAGGCTACAGAGCTACAAATATATGTGTAAAGAATACAGAGAATATATAAAAGAAAACAGGCAAAAATAAATCTGGCATTACCAGGCCAATGAAGTCCCTTCTCACAGTGGGTAGCACTCTTCCCTCCGTGTTAATCAAGAAGGGCTGTGCTGAGAGCAGCCACCCCACATCTGTACTGGTCCCTGCCACCCTGGCATAATCTTCTTCAAATATTTTCTGATGTCAGAATCTGTGTGCTCACTAAAGAACCGAGTGAAAGAGTGTCACTCGGGGTTGGGGATGGCCATTACCCTGTGCAGTGAGGAGACCAGCTTAGAGTCACCCAACCATGCTGGAACAACTTTATTGTGCTGTCTTGGCAAAATTCAGCTGCGCAAACAATTTCTTCCAATTCTGTACAGCCTCATCCGCAGACATCCCCTTACCTAAATCAGAGATATTTTCCATCACATCAAATACTTCAAGGCACCTGAAACCCTTTTTTGCATGCCAAGAAGGGACTTCCACCCCCTTCTGTGTGTGCTCTAGCACCCATTGTGTAGCACAAGGAATACAAGGTTCGCCCTGTGCCTGTCACCAAAAGCTTCAAGCAGAGACTCGAGCTTCTCCCCCTCACAACTTATGGGGGCCTCTAAAACTCCTCTGTGGCCACCTTAGGCTGATCATGCTGTGCATGCCTTCTACACCCTCTAACAGTAATTTCACCAAATCTGCACCAAATGTCACAACAATAGAGAGGCTCAAATCCACCCTTTTATTTTACACAGATTCTGCACATGGAGTTATAACATTGCTCCTCTGTCTCCTTCCCACCCTGAAAATTCCAGCAATTGGATATTTGGAGGAGGGAGGCTCCAGAGGTACTCCTCTACATTCCTATCTGGGCTGCTACAGTGCTGAAGAAATTCCCCTATGTGACCATTCCAGAGGCAAGTGTCACTCCAGTGAGCTGCCAGGTGCCCTGTTCAATTCCCCACCCATGCCACTCTCACACCTGACTGAGCAGATGTCTGTACCCATTCCACCCTGAGGTTCTGTCAGCAGAGTCACAGACATCTCATTCCATAAAGAGCCACCAGCTCCTGCTGCAGCTGTCAGTATTGTCTTGGTTTAAAGGACAGGTGCTTGCCAAGGAAGGCAGGAACCTCCTTTGGAATGGTATGTGCCAATTGTTGGCATCAGTGCTTGGCACCAATTGATGGTGGATTAGAACTGTCACCATTATTTTCTTATCTTGCTGTAAGACTTTCATACCTTGTCTTTGTGAGTTCTCACAGGCAGCTTCTCACAACACTGACTCCTTTTCTTTCTTTCATATGGTTGGCTGACTTCTTCCCGTCCCTAGCAGCACATACTAACCCTTATGGTCCCTAACACAAACACCTGACCCTTACTCCTTGCAGCAGCACAGCCAACTGATCCCAAGTCTCCCACAATCAGCTAATCCACTCTTTTATAACACCCATCTTATTGGCCCATCCTTATTGGACACAGCTGCACCCTGTTAAGGGCAGGCCTTATTGGACACGCCTGTGACCTACTAAAGGCAAGGCTGTTCCTACTCTTTGGTAATTAGTACAGCTGCAACTCCTCAGGGGTAGGAGTGCCTTCAGCACTATTTCTATTCTCCTACAATCCATCCTTCCACAGGTCTCTGCCACTTGAAAGGCTGAATGGACTGCAGCAGGAACCTTGGAGCAACAGGCTGGAACAGCAGAGGCAGGCCTATCCCAAAGTGACAAACAAAGTGTAGCAAAGATTCCAGAGCCACGCCAGAATCTGTGGAGTGTTTGGGCAGGCATGGAGTGTCAGGTTAATGTGTAGCAAAAAAGCCTAAATCGTCAGTATAAAACAGCACAGCTGGGTAGTGGTTGCCAGGCTACTTCAAGCAGCAGGCACAAACAGCTGGGAGATGCACCCTCTGGGAAGGAGTCAGGATCGCCTTCCCAGTGAGGTTGAGCGTTGGAAAGGTCCCAGTTCAACACTTGCTCTTGTGAGCAGAAGCTCACCCACAGAAAGCAGAAAAGCACTTCAGAACAGAATTCCAGTGTGGCAGCATATTCACCCCACAGCAGCAGCAAACTGGACTGCTCCCCTCTGGCCCTGAGAGTGAGGAGCTGAGCCTAGTCCCTCAACCCCAGCCAAAATCTCACAGTATCTCAACACTTCCCAAGAGAACCTCACTGCTCAGAGACAGTAGCAAACTGCACCCTTGTCACTGCTTCTTGGCTATATCTTTTGTCTCTCTTAAGTATCTGTTGTTTCTATCTCTTAGGCAAAAAATGGGATAAAATTCCCTGAGAGAAAAGAAAAGGAGGGGGAAAACATCCCAAATTCCAATAAGTATCCATTCCCCTGGCCTGCTCCCTGTGCCCTCTGTCGTGTGAAGTGTACACAACCTCTGGTCCTGGGCTCCTGCCAGCCAGAGCTCAATCTGCAGCTGGCACTGCAGCTGCACACCCAGCTCCCCGCCCTCAATGGATTCCTCAGCCACTGCCTGCCCCGGGGGCTGCACAGCCTCATCCTGCAAGAAGAGGGGCCTAAAGAAAGCAGCAGAGAGCCTTGTTACAAGGGCAGGTCCTGAGAGGACAAGGGGCAATGGCCTTACAGTGACAGAGGATAGCTTTAGATGAGATCATAGTCAAGAATTCTTGACTGTGAGGAATATGAGGAATTCTTGCTGATATACTGGCATGGGTTACCCAGAGCAGCTGTGCAGCCTGTTTCTCATGTAGGCACAGTCAGCACAGAAGACACAGACACCAAGTTCAGGAATAAATGTAATTTACTGTAATTCAAACCTGCGAAGAATTGTAAAAGGATAAGTAAGCAGGACATAAAATCATTAGCAAAGAATTACAAAAGGATAGCAATGCATCTAATCATTACCATAAACAACTGACTACAGTGATGAAGAAAGACACATCACAAGTTACCTTAATCCTTGACCATCATCCAGGCCTGCCCATCAACTGGGGGGAAGCCACTGTCACAGTGAAGGACTGGGGAACCACTGACAGCAACTGGGAAATCCTGCAGGTACCTTCCCCTACAGGCAGTGAGGCTACTGACTGTGCTGTGAGAGGTTCCCGTTTTTATACTGTGGAATAAGCAAGATAGCAAAACTTCTAGTGCAGTAACATCTGGTTTCAGTCTCCTACTAGGATGCTCCCGAGGCCTTGGAGAGCTTCGGGAAGAACCAAAGGAGTTGTTTGTGATTGCACACCCCCAAACAAGGTGAAATAGGGTCTTGTCCTGTTCCTAAGTATAGAAAAGTAAATCCATGTTTTGCCAGTGAGTGGACATACATAACATTAGTTTGGAAGATACATCCAGAGGCCAGCTCTTAGTCAAGGCCTGTTGTTCTGGCCCTAGTCAGGGCCTGTTGCTCAGGACTTAGTACTTCAATGCCTCATCCCTCAAAGTGTCCAAGGACAGCTTCTGAGCCAGGCTGTGCACACTGTGGACATCTGGGTCTAGCACAAGTCATCCCTTCCTGCCCATGATAGTAGGTTGGAACGAGATGATCTTCAAGGTCCATTCCAGCCCAAACTATTCTATTGCTCCTTGATTCGATGCAGCTCCTCCTGCCATGGGCTCCATGACACAGATCCCCACAGAGCCCAGAACATGGAACCCACCCCTCCATGACATCAGCCCCAGGACATCACGGGCAGCGCGGCTGCTGCGGGCACTGCGGCTGTGGCTGTGCTGCTGCACGGAGCTCTCAGTGCTTGCAGCTGACACGTGCCTCTGGCAGCCATGAATTGGCTCAGCCTCCTCGTCCTGCTGACCCTGGCTGGGCTGGCAGAGGGGACATGGGACAACTGCGGGTGAGTGTCCCCAGGCCCTGGGAGGGAGCCAGGGCAACACTTGGGGCCTTCCCTGGAGGGGACCCGCCTGTCCCCCATGGCCGGGCCACAGCTTCCCACCCACCATGGGGAGCCTCAGCTCCTTGCCAGCAGCCAGGTGCTGGCACGGACAGACACACACCCCATGGGCTTCCCCGGCCTGCAGGGCGTGCAAGCCCTTGTGGGGAGGGCAGAGGGCTGAGCTTCAGCCTGAGCCACAGCAGGCCATGAAGCAGCACGGAAATGACTTTCTGTTTGCAGAGGGACCTGTGGGCATCGGGCTGTGCCTTCGGTCTACCACCCCACAACTAATTCCTACGGCAACGTGGCTTATGACTCTGGCATGACACGCATTGTTGGTGGCACAGGTGCCAAGCCAGGGGCCTGGCCCTGGATCGTCAGCATCCAGCACCCCTGGATACCAGGCCTGAAGCATCTGTGTGGAGGGTCCCTCATCAGCACACAGTGGGTGCTCACAGCAGCCCACTGCTTCGACAAGGTCACGTAAGGATGAGCAGGGAATGGGGACATCCCCACAACACCAGCAGGTGCCCTGTCAGCAGCACCACCTGTAAATCTCATCCCCTTTTCTCTCAGGCAGCCAGGCTGCCACACTGCTCAGGAGAAGCTTGGGTTCATGCCAAGGCTTCCTTGCAGCCTCCAGCTTGACATTCCCCCCAGGCATGCGAGGGCACTCACACCTGCCAGAGCACTGCCTCCTCTCTGCCTTGCCATGCAGAGGTGTGACAACTGCTGGGCTGCTGTGGCACTGTGGCTCTGCTCCCTCTCAGCCTTCTCTCCATGCCTTCTAGGGAAATCAGCCTGCTGTCTGTGGTGATTGGGGCCACCCAGTTGACTCAGCCAGGCCATGGGGCACAAGTGCGCAGCGTCAAGCAGGTGCTGCTGCACCAGTACTACAAACCTGTTGACATGAGCTACGACATTGCCCTGATGCAATTGGACCATCCTGTCCAGTGCAGCCCCTACATCCAGCTGGCCTGTGTGCCCGACATCACACTGAAAGTGTCAGAGCTGCAGAACTGCTGGGTGGCTGGCTGGGGTGCCACCACAGAAGGAAGTGAGTTCCAAAAGAAATCCTGGGCCAGCTGAGCACACTGGGGGGAGGGTTTGGATTTCCCCACAGCAGAGGCCTAAGTTGGAATCAGGCTGCAGGACATACACCTTTGCAGAAATGGGCCTGGCCCAATCCCCAAAGGCAAGTGAGAGCTCCAGTGCCTCTGCAGATACAAAGCCAAGATATGGATCCCCCACAAGACAACCATGGGAGGAGAACTGGGAAGGAGCTGCTGGGCACTCATTCCTTTCTGTTGCTCACAGGTCAAAAAACAAGTGATATCCTCCAGGAGGCCAAGGTCCAGCTCATCGATGTCCGGCTCTGCAACAGCAGCCACTGGTACTCAGGGAAAGTCCACATCCACAATGTGTGTGCTGGATACCCACAGGGCAAGATCGACACCTGCCAGGTAAGAAGGAGCGTGCCATGAGCCACTCAGCCCCCAGCAGCACCGCCCCAACACAGCCCAGGGCCTGCTCTGCCCTCAGCCACTCAGTCGCCCTCCCAGCCCCAGCTCCCCCCGACTGCTCTGGGGGCTTCCCACACACTCCCCATCCACCCCTGCCTGCCCAGGGCTCCCCTTGTGCCAAAAGCTCAGAAAACCCAGTTAAAGTGTTCCTGGTGGTCCAGAGGTCCAGGTGCCAAACATCCATCCTCTGCACATCCAGGAGCCCTGTGCAGAGACAACAGAGACCCTACAAGAGCCCAAATCATTCACAGCCAAGCTTCTAGAGACTCCAGCCCCTGAGCAGAGCATCCCTCTGCCTGGAATACAGCTCTGGCAGGGGATGTGAGAGAGAAGGAGACAGCCCCAGTGCTGGCAGGTGCCACACTTAACTCCACCTTAATGCTCTGTGCTCTGCTGCAGGGTGACAGCGGTGGCCCTCTCATGTGCCAAGAGAAAAACAGTGACCACTGGTGGGTCATCGGAATAACCAGCTGGGGAAGAGGCTGTGCCAGAGCAAGGCGTCCTGGAATCTACATCTCCACTCAGTACTTCTATGACTGGATCCTATTCTACATGAACCTGAGCCCATATGGAAGTTCCTCTCCAACATCACGGGCATCTAGTCATTTTTTGACCACTTCACACCTCTGGAGTTATTATATTTTCACCCCACAACCCTCTCAGAAGCCATGGCCAAGACCAACCCCCTCTCCAAAACCAACTCCAGTACCAACAGTGGGCAAAGTTAACTCCTGCCCATTTTCCATCAAAATTCTGGTGAAATTATTTACTCAGGTGAAGGAACTCCTCCAGCAGACCTTTGGTCAACATACATCTTGAGCAGCAGGACAGCCATGGTCTAGGGCACACTGCAGTGCATCACAACCATTTCCTGCTGATCCAAAGGCAGCCTCAGGGTCAAAAACCTTCTCTGTCCTGACCACACTCCTCTCCTGTGTGCATGCAGACACCACAGTTGACTTACCTGAATGAAGTAAAATTGTCTATGGTCACAGGGAACCATCTTTTTGGTCCAATTTCGACTCCTGGGCAAAGCAAGGACTTCCATGGTCAGTACTTGCAGAATGAGCCTGAGGGCAGACTTGCCAGGCACCAAGGGACAGAGTGGCTCCAAAATGCTCCAGAGTGCCTGGTCAGAGAGGAGAGTGCTCTGAGCCACTGTGGGCTGGAGGAACCTGGTACATCAAGCCTAGGAAAGGGATAGGAAAAAAGCAGACACCTTGGAGGCAATGCTCAAATGCACATGGGCTGCTGATTTAGGGCATGTGAGCCTGGGCTAAGGGAACACATCTGGGAAACTCCCAGGCATGACAAGGGAAACTCCTGGCTCCTGACTGGAGTGCCAGTGCCCTAAGGCAGAGCCAGATTTCACAGGTAATAAAGGGTATTGATGTGCCAGGTGGTCACACTTCACAGATACTCAAAGGAAGAGCTGAGGTCATTCTGGGGAGGGGAACCTGGCAGGAACAGTAGGAAAGCACACCAGGAATGCCATGGAAGGCCAAGGTGTGTGGGCCAACACCACCTGCAACACCAAGGCTGTTCACAGGCAGGGCCAACCTGTGAGCCAGGGGGAAATGATCCCTGGGCTTTTGGCTCCATATTTGGGAGGGGCTGAGGGCAGAGAAATGGAGGAGTTGAGGAAGATGAGAGGCTGTACAAGCCTGGCAAATGAAGAGAAGGAGCAACCAAAGAGCCAGCTGCAGAGACACAAACTGCAGCTTGGTGTGCTTGTTTTCCTGAGTGCTACACAGAATCACCACAGGATGGGAACGAAACTCTTTTGCTCTTAATTTCCCACAGCACAATGACATGGAGAATGGCCTGTGGCTTAGAACAAGAGCACCCTTCTCTGTCTACAGCATTCAGTTGCTGTATGTCACTTGCCACCCTGAAATAAGGGTGTCACAATGGCCTCATTAGATCAAGCCCAGAACAGCAACAGAACTCATTGGCAGTAAGGGCATGGAGCCTGCCAGAAGGCATTTGTCTGCAGACTGTGCTGCACCTGCATTTCACTGCACTTCTGCAGCAAAAAATGATGCAGCTTGGGCACTGCACTGCTTACCTACTGTGACTGGATTGGCTCCTGAACCAAGCACACACATGCATCCTGAAAGAGTCCTGTTCCACAGAAATTCTGTTTTGGGAAGAATCTTGTGGGGGAAAAGGCTGCAGAGAGCAGGGTACCAGTGAAATTCCTCAGGTGCTCCACAGCCCCATCCTGCAAGTAGAGGGGCCTACAGGAAGCTGCAGGGAACCATCTCACAAGGGCTGGTCCTGACAGGACATGGGGCAATGGCTTTACAGTGACAGAGGGTAGCATCTGCTGAGATCATAGGAAGGAATTCTTGATTGTGACAGTACTGAGGCACTGGCATGTGTTGCCCAGAGCATCTGTGGATGCCCCATCTCCCAAAGAGTTCAAGTTCTTCTTCTGAGCCAGGCTCTGAGTAACTGGGTCTAGGGCAAGGTGTTCCTGCCCATAGGAACTAGATGATCCTTAAGATCCTTTCCAATCCAAACCATGATTCTAAGATCTGTGGAGTACATTGAGTAAAACTTCAGCAGCACTTATGATCTCCAGCTGTCATTCATTGATGTCACTTAGCATGAATGAGTGTGACTATACTGTCATATGCAGAGTTCCACATTTGGTCTTGGATAACAAGTAATAATTAAACCAGCAATTTAGTAATAGTTACAACAGGCACATCTACACCATAATGTCAAATTGATACAAACAATCACCTTATCAAGTACATGCATTAGTGCCTTCTGAGTAATGTGCTAGTAGTCATGGGGAGAGAGAGAGAGCAAGTACTGTATACCAAGTATAAATATAGATCTAAAAATATAAAAAATAGCTGTCAGAAAGTATTCTTTCTTGGGGTTCCTGTGACAGATTTAGCTGGCAAGGCATTAAATTCTTTGTTGCGAGCTCCTACATGAGCATGAGGCAGAATAGAGGCAGGACTAGGAGCATGAGGATTCCTTACAGATGAGAAGATGCACTTGATAGTTCTCTTTTCCTATATACTGCATTTATTGCATATAGAAAAATAATTCTAAACCTTTATTTTGGAGGAAAAACAACAATACCGGAGAAATTCCTTCCATTTTGTACCTAGATGGGCTGTTCTGACTCACAGCAAAGGCAAGAGAGGGGTGAAGATGGGATGGGCCAGACAGCAGGTCTCATCTGATAATTCTGAGTTGGATTAAGTGTGGATTTAAGTAACCTTTCCTCCTCTCTACATACTTAGGGCCACTGCTGGCATCTCCAGCTGAAATTAATCTACAACAGCCTGTAAGGCTTAACAAAATTCTGGCTGTGCCTTGTTCCAAATTCATGCTTTGCAGCTTGAGGTAATGTGGAAGGCATGAAGACTAGTGTCTCAATCTGACGGTTCTTGAGATTTTCACAAAGCCCTCTGGAGTGTTTATTATCCTGGCCTTCAGTTACAAGAACATTTTAACCCAATCTCTAGATAACCTGAATCCTAAAGTCACCTTACAGGTTTATGTTTTTAAGTAATAAGATTTTTAAGATAACATGGATCTTTTAAAATCATTGAATATTTGTTATTAACACTGTTCCCTCAGAGCCCCATCATTTGGATTTCTTGATTTTCACCCAAGGATGTGATGTAAACAGTTTTAACAGAGAGACAAGGTACATTCCCACACATGCTTATAGAGGATTGTAAATGCCCACAACATTTTTACTTCCCAGTTTCTTCTGCATTTTTGGAATTCTGTCTGGGAAGAGATCCATACCATAAATAGCTCATATCCATCTTGAAATTGCCAGACCTCCTGGTTTTAGATTGCAACAATTAGTCTCCTAAATTCTGTGTAATAAAGTTACCCACATTCCTCATTGGTACATTTCAGGCTTATGTGAAGTTGTGAGGGTTGAGATTTGAGTAATTGTAAACTGTGCCTAATGCTTAATAAAGAAATGGTTTAGATCACCCAAACACACATCCAAGACATACCAGAGTTGTACATACTTGATTCCTATCATGTGCTTAGGATTTTTTATTTGAAAAGCCCTTTCTGGTAAAAAAGCAAAACCTGCCCCTCTGGCATTTCTGCCAGTGTGTAGCAGTAGGATGTGCAGCACTAAAGCCCAGAGGGAGACAACCTGTCTTGTTCCTGTTTTTTCTCATCTTGGGGAATCAGACTTCCAGGCTGGCATCCCTGCTTGCTCCTATCCCTGCACACAAAAAGGAGCTGTTGCTAAGCAGCTGTGGACCGTGCACCACAGCCTGGTTTGAAAATGAAGAATTAACTAGATTCGTTTTGATGAAGACAAGGTACAGCTGAAGAACAGGCAGGAGAAAGGGAAAAAAAAGTAAAATAAAAGGCAGCTGTGATTTGCACTAGAGAACAGAGAGTGTCCAAACAAGAGGGAATTTTGAAAGCAAAGAGGAAATATATGTGTGGCCTAAATGGAAGAAATACATAGAGAATGAGGTGTTCTTCAGGGCAAGTGCTGTCTCTATGCTTATATATCTCTTACCACTGCAAAGCTCCAATCCAGGGGTCTTCAAGGAAAATATCAGAAACAAGTGAACAAAAATGCTGGCACCAAACTTTTCACCTCAGCCTCTCACTGGTCCTGACTTAAACACAGCCTCACAGCCACCTTTAGTGGGAGATAAAGAACATGGAAGGAAAAGGGCTGGAAATTAATAATTCAATTTTTTGTCCTGGGAAATTTTTACCTCCATTGACTCCTTAAGTTATGCTAGTTTGAGAGACACCGAGGCTGCAGCCACCTCAGGTGACTGTGTAGTGACTGAGGACTCACCATATATTTTTTGTAACCCTAAGGATGTCACTCAGCACTCATGCATAGCTCATAGAGAATTCTTCTTCCAATAAGATGTTCTGTGCTGATTAAGCATGGCCAAATCCCATTCTTTTGTTGTGCCTGAATTCCCGGGCCTGAGAATCTAAATTGTACCATTCCATGAAAAAGCACATTGGCTATTTGGCTTGATATATTTCATTATTGTTCTAGAGATTTGAAGGCCAAGCAAAAACTATGCAAGTTTTTCTGAGCATATTAGTGTTTTCTCCTTAATTCATTGCAATAGTATTTATTCTCATCTATGTTCACTTTTCATGAATATTTCAGAAACCTGTTTCACAGGCTGAAGTAGTCTCAGGGAAAAAAGCTTAAAATAATAAAAAAATATTAAAAAACATTGTCAAAATTAAAATTAAAAATGCAAATATTAAAGAATATTGTAAAAAAAAACCCCTGTACTATAAATGTGGGTCTACTGGTTCCAGCCCGACCAGGCATGTAGCATATGTGTACCCCTCTGAAATTCTGGTTCAGTCATGACAAATGAATATAAATGAGAATTCAAATATTGCGTATTTAGACTGGAAAATTTACAGGCCAAGAACTATTCGTTGCAATTAAAATGTAAGTGAATCTGAACCAACTTATCACTGGCTCCTGGTGATCAGAGCACTGAAAGAAAAGCTGAGAGAAATAAGTAAGGGTGATTGCTTTGCACCAGTGCAGCTTTGCTTGTAGTGGGTGTCAGCCAATCATTTGTTCTGTTTCTTCCCTGCTTTTAGAGGTCTGCAATACATTTCTAGAAATCGTAATTCACAAATATATCTTCAGACATCTCTCAGATACTACCTAGAGTGTTAAATAATGCAAAATATATAAATCTCATAGGCTTATTCGGTGATAGAGTCCAACTGGATGGATTTCGTACATAAGTCATATCTCTGAAGTACTTTTTTTAAAAAAGTGGTTGTTTCAATAAATATGGATTTTCAGTATATAAGCTAGACCTTTCTAGGGAAGTGCTTAAAATGTAGGGACCTCTGTTTTTGTTTTGGTTAGGAATGCAGTTGACATATCCATGGATGCAGAATCATCCCTGCTTTGCTACCATGCTACCAATCAAAGCAAAGTTCATCTTTTCAAATTCTTTATTCATTTCAGTGAGACCTTGATGTCACTGATACGAGAGAAACATCAGGGAGAGTTATAGAAAAGAAAGGATGCCTGATCTTCATGATCCTTA